GGGGGGGGGGAAGAAGGCAAATGGTGTTGTTTGTTTTGTTTTTAAGCGTGGGTTGGCGGTGGGGTGGATGGCAAAAAGTAAATAGCACAAAAAGGGGAGACGGCAGAATGTTATTTTGGGGCAAAGATAGAGTGTCGGTAGATTAGTGAGCATGCAAGTGCTCACGCAGAGGAAGAAACAAAAGACACGGAATGGTGGACAGACGGGGAAAAAAGCTAGCAGTCTAACAGGTAGACAAGCAGACAGACAGGCAGGCAGATAGACAGGCAGAAAAGCAGGCAGATAGACAGAAAGGCTGGTAGACAGGCTGATAGACAGGCAGACAGACAGACAGATGGACAGGCAGAAAAGCATGCAGATAGACAGACAGATAAACAGACAGGCAGACAGAGAAAGGCAGGCAGATAGGCAGGCTGATAGGCAGGCAGGCAGGCAGGCAGACAGACAGACAGACAGACAGAAAGTCAGGCAGATAGACAGCCAGACAGAAATGTAGATAGGCAGACAAAAAGGCAGGCAGACAGACAGACAGACAGAAAGACAGACAGACAGACAGACAGAAAGACAGATAGACAGACAGGCAGACAGAGAAAGGCAGGCAGATAGACAGGCTGATAGGCAGGCAGGCAGACAGACAGACAGACAGACAGGCAGACAGGCAGACAGAAAGTCAGGCAGATAGACATCCAGTCAGAAATGTAGGCAGATAGACAGGAAGACAGAAAGGCAGGTAGAAAGGCATACCAACAAGCAAACAGTCAAACATAGTGTGACACAAGCTGTGCTATGAACTTACATAAAAACAATCAACGTGTGTACCCAGCGCTCATAATATTACGATTTTATTGTCGCTGTCGCAAGCAATCTACTATAATATATCATTATAAAGTCCAAAATTTGAGAATTTTCAATTTTTACACCGCCCCAAAGCTGTATCAAAGATGTACCTTTCAACATCACCAAAATGCAGTTAAATGCTACGGTCAAGGCTTACAACAATTGTCTTGCTCTTCATGATTCCGGACAGGAAAAACACAACAACAAAAGATGTTGGTTTTTGGGGGGACTCTGGTGTAAAAAGTACCCAAATGCACTTTAAATGGATTGCTTGCGACAGCAATAAAACATTTACCGGTACCAAACCGAACATCTCGTTACCCCCCGGGGCAGTACTACTGACTGAAGTGTCTTCAGGCCATTTCCAAAAAGGGGGAGACATTAACATCTCGAGCTCTTATGCACAGAAGAATTATAATTGTAAATGGGCTGATTCATCAATGTCATGCTCAATAACTGTGCTGGAACTGCAACAGGGAACTGCTGCTTTTTTCATTCCTAATCCTTACTATCGTCATTTTTCATCTACTTCTTTTGTGTGTTTGACACACTCTTGTGACCAGCTATTTCCGTCGTGCCTTGATAGTAGAAGCAGACTTTGTGCTATTGAAGCTAGAGATGTGAGCAAAGTAAGTTTGATTCCTTGTAAGTACTTCTCTGTTGACATCCACCCCTTGGCGCTCATATGACCTTATGCCGTTGCGAGCGCCGAAAAAAACTCTACTAAAACAAAACTAAAACGTCTCGTGACGTAATATAGTATCTCACCATCTAAATAGTTGAAGCTTGCATTGATGCACGCCGTCTCACAGCCCACACGGAAGAATAACCCAACTCCTACGTTGAAGTTGTCGTCTTCAAGCCATACCCACATAGGTGCGACCACGCCCCCAATCTGCAATGCAGCTGCAAGAGCGATAAAGATCAAGGTCACGATGATCCACGCCCGAGGCTTCATGGTTGGTGGAGAAGAAACAGGAACGATTTCTCTCGTAGCCTAGAAAAAACAGGAACGTTTTTGTCGTAAGAAACAGGAACGTTCTCGTGTCTCCAGGCGTTCAGTTATCGGGACAGATGAAAAGTTTGCCCCTGAGGAAGGGGTTCGAGTGAGCGAGACAGCAGCTGGGCTGGTGTTGATGGGCGAAATGTAAGTATGTAGTCCAATGAAAGTAATGGTTGCGTAGTAGATGCTGTATAATAGTTTGTCTTTTACGAAATCAAGAATTCGAAACCCGAGGTTTGATTGAGCGACGATAACAACAGCAAGAGAATAGTAAGTATACTCTGCTTGGTCAATTTTGCGCTGATAAATTCCTGCGCCCAGTCTGCTCAACAAGTTGAAATACTTTCTTCGAAAAGTCTTTTTCCTTGATCCGAAATCAGACGAAATTTGTGGGTGAACAGGTAGTGATAAAGGCTTAGAGTTCGGCGTAGCTCACAAGCGGGGTTGACCTGTTGAGGAAAACAGATAACAAACATTAGGAATGAATAGCAAACAGAAAAAAAAAGTGTGTTGTTTATTTTCTCGGCTGAAAAATATTATCATTTTGAAATACCAATGGGATACTCTGGAAACTGGGGGCTTTGGCCAACATCTCTGTCACAAAAAAGAACTATAAAGCATTGTACGAATTCCTTATATTTCTCTCTCTCTCTCTCTCTCTCTCTCTCTCTCTCTCTCTCTCTCTCTCTCTCTCTCTCTCTCTCT